TGGCTACATGCCTCGGGGTTTGTAGCCGCTGTGCCGAGATAACGGCTGAATGGATATCAGAATGTAAAGCAAGACTGTTTAATGTGAGTGTGGAAATTTAGGTTTGATCACTGCTGGCTGCTGAAATTCTAAACCAGACCCATACGGTTATTGAATGGGGCGATGATTTTATCATCGTGCGATTTTAAAATGCGTTAACACGACTGCTCTGGGTGATTGATAATTATAAATCTCGGTTACATATGTGGCATCAATGAATGACATTACGCAACTTTTTTTAAAAGATGTTAATTTTACAAAGTGCTTTTCATTTTTTATCGTGCCGACAGTCGCATTTGAATTTTAAGTCAATGAGTAAAAATGGACAAATCTTTTACAGATATACACATTGTAATATTTTAGGCATGATGATTACCAAACGTATTCGCCGCATTGGTACCAGTCTATCCACCAATGGCAAAGCAGTAGCGGCACAGTGGTTTGTCTACTGCACTGTTAGCCTGGTGACCCGAGACTGGTTCCTGGCCAGGAAGAGGAATTTAACTTTGGTTATTGGGATAATAGCACATTGTGTGAACCACTTGACCAAGCCTCCCCTACCAAGCAAAGTCACACGGCGACACCAAAGGCAATGATCCCCCGTGTAGCCCACATACGCTGTTGCGGCAAGCACCGTCAATAAGGTGCCTATTAAAGCTGGTATTAAGCAACAAGGAACTGGGGTATGGCCAGCATCATGCCAGGCCACCTTTGTCTCCCCTGTGCGTACGTGTGCACACCCACACTAATACGGCCGATTCAACCTACGGAGAGGCCCAGGATCGGTTCTAATATGACACGCCACTGATGTTAGCCATAGCTGGGAATTGAACACAGGTTTCTGGGTTCAAAGTAGTTCACTAACCAACTAAACGACGGATCTACAAACCGACACCAAAGACAAAGATCCCCCATACAGCCTTTACGGACTGTTGGGGCAAGTGCTGTTTGCCAGCACCTATGAAGACCGGCAAGGCACACGAGGGGCTGGGTGGCCAGCATCACGCCCGGATGCCTTTGTCTCCCCAGTGGCGATGTTTACACACCGCACCAGGTACTCATTTGAGGCCGAGTCATCCTAGGGGAGACAAATACACCTAACACACACGCAAATACACACATACCACTAGCGAAAGCGCACACAAAGGTTTCGGAGGCATCAAGTCAAACCTGCGCAGCGGCTGTGAGCACTAAAACATGACGGAAAATTGCATTATTCTGTTTTTCAGGTGGAGCCGCATTCCTGCAGCGGGTTTCATAGCCAGAAGCGCGCGTGACACGCAGGGTCTGGCTTTTTTCGTTGCTTCTTTGTGGCGTGGCCAGGCACACAGGGCCTGGGCACAATGCACCTCGTGGTATTATCTGCGTGCAGAGCGGGGAACACACAGACGGGTGGCCTTGTCTGGGCTGGAAGAGAGCGTTCCTCCGTTCAAAGAGAGAAATAGGCGCTTTATCCCTGCCTGGGACACGCGATCCGCTGGCGACAAAAGAGAGGCCCGAAACATAAATTTGATACCTTTAAATAATACACCTCTCCTCCATCCCTCAAATAACCTTGACGTTTGTGTTTCGAAAACAGAGGGTCTCTCTCTTTGTGCCGTGAGACATGTCACCGAAGACGTATCATTGGAAGGTTAAATTAAATATTTGTTTAATTGCCCCCCCCCCCCCCACGTTGCACTGTACAATGTGTCGTGTGCCATTTAAACATCATATATGCACGCGTGTGTTTAAACATTTGCTGTCGGGTTTGGTTTGTTTACATAATGGTGTCCAGTAGGGACAGCCACCAGAGCATTGTAATCCTATGGTAGTCGGCAGTTCAATAATTAATTAAATGAAATAAACATTCCCTGCTTTTCTTTGACTCTTGTAGATTTGAGGTGGACATACAGTTCACGAGGAAACGCGCGTAATCTAAGTTGGGCGTCTGTGCTCGAGAGGTTATGCAACCAAATGTGGCCTCAAAGTGCACCTGGTCTGGCACAGGCGCCGTGGTGACATCACCGTCACTTAGTGGCGAATGGGAGGTATTGGTATTTAACCAGAATGCTAAACGTTTTTGGAAATGCCGCCGATCAAATGAGGTTTACGTGTAGTAGTTTCAACTCGAGCGTTGCAAAATGCGTTTGGCTAACAACAACGAATAGCAGGGCGTTCGTAGAAGAGAACGCCTCGTTCTGCCACTCGACACACGTACAGCATTGACGGTGGCGTTTCATTTGAGCGGCATGCCACAGTCGTTGGACACCTCTCCCCCTCTGCATTACGCAACGTGGCGTGTTGTTGTTGTGGTGGTGTTGTTTTTACAGCTTATTTGTTGGGGCTTTTAAAGAAAATAGTAAACGTAATTGTTTCATGTGCAGCCCCTTGTCACGCCACTCCTGGGCAATGGGGGCGTGGGGGGGGAGGTTACTTGACCATATTTCACCATGGCGGGGAGTTGGGGCTCAGGGTGGAAGCAACGCCTGTCCAGACATCACTCACCACTTGATGTTAGACATGGCTGGGGACATGGCTGGGAATCGAACTCAGGTCACCGAGTGTCCATAGCGCAGTGCGCTATAACCACGGCACCGCTGCTGACCCCCCTACTGAAATATATCACTTGTGCCCAAAATTATGAAAGCACGGCTGTATTTAAAGATAGTAAGAGTGCAATAGTGGATACACAAAGTTCACAAGGTCAATGGTACTGTTTAGGGTGTTACAAGATCAAAGGCAATAGATAATGTTTCACAGGTCAAAGATAGTTCAAAAGGTTCAAGTGTTAATACATTTTTACAGCAGAACCTGGTTATAAACAAAACATGTATACACGGGGCTAATGTTACTCTCAACTGGGCCAATAGCTGAGGAGAAATTAAGTCAGAGGTCAAACCCACCCAAGCAGAGGCATGGCAATGAGAGAGTACGCGTACATGGTGGCTGTGTTCACATCGACCAAATAATACACATGATGTCATATTACTTAGCAGCCTTCAAAAGCACGTGCACCGAATATTTAAATAACCCAAGCTCAGCCACTAATTTACCTTACGAATCATTGTCATTATACGGGAGAAAAATCGACTCAGCAGCAGCATGATTACGTTGTAAATATACACTTCAATCGACTTAACGAGCTCGTTTTAAATGCGCAGCAAAGCCAGCGTTGGGTTGTCTATGCTGCAACAGTCACAGGCGAGGTATTTTGGCAATTGTGTTTGGACAAAGATGAAGGCCAACTATTGCCGACAACTGCAGCGAAACCTGTAGCGCATGTTGCAGCAAGCAGGCCCGCCATCCAAGGCTTTCTTTCGTAACGAAGATGGCACGCTCCTCTGACCGTTCACCACGCAGCATAAGGAGGGAAGGGGTGGTTAGTGGGGAGTTTTAACGACGGCAAACTTTGTACCCGACACCAAAAGCCCTCTGTTAAGCCACCGGATTGTATCCATACATACAGCGGGCTACATGGCATTTTCATCACCGCACACTGTGTCCCAACAGGCATCGTGGCAACTGGGCAAGGTACACAAAGCACACGTATATTTATTGTTTGCTCACTATGATTTTATAACGTGAAACCTGATCTACGATGTCGATCATATTGTACTGCCACACTGAATCTCGGCGAGGGGGAGAATTAGCGGACTGTATCTGAAGCCGCGATCGCGTAAACATTACAAGAGCAAGGTCAAATCACTTTCATAGTACAATGTGGGAGGGTTAAAGGTCCGGCCCACAAATTACTTTTCTTACACCACTGCTGGCAAAAGCACATCCACTCGAGGGGATTCTAGAAAGCCCCTCTACAATGTATTTTTGGCCGATTCAATTCTGGCCATATGTCTTGAAAGTGATGGGAGTACTCACACTTTACCAAACTGTGGAGTGTTTTACCCACATTTCAGCACGGACTCAGGGCCAGCAATGGCGACATCAGCACACTCATTTGAGAAGGGAAGCACTGGGGCACTACCAGGCAGTGAATGCGATCACCACGATTTTAATCGTCCCAACGCACGTACGGTCGTGCCGAGCCCCGTTCTGGTGAACTGCGCTTATGTTGGTGGAACGGTTTAAGAGATATCATAGAAAATATCTGATGTAAATATCAAAAAAATCGGGGAAGGATGTGGTCCAGCTGACTCACTGGGGCTAATGCGTCCATTAGACGATTGAACTAACAGCGCCGTAATCCAAAGCACAAACACTCGTGAATAAGGGTTGATGATTTAAACCTGGCCACTGCTGACTGCACGAGTGAGCACCGATCAACCATGGAAATCTGTAAATTATGCGAAAAACCCCATCAGAACAGAATAGTAGGACAGGCCTAGGAAAACCGGTACGTTTTAAACAACACAGAAATATGTACAAAGCCTCTGTGCACCATGCACACAAACCATCAGCATTCCCTGAAAAAGTGTAGTGGTCCTCTGTCTTAGGTCAATGTTATAATTAATTTGAGAAAACACGACAGAAGCAGTGATACAATGATAGGACAAATGTGGACCAGTTTTGTGCTTATTAGGACTCATTGGCAAAGAATAATCACCAATGCCCATTGCTTGCAGAGTCTGCTTCTGAAAATAAAATACTGTATGTGCAGTCTCCACTTCCACGCTACGGGACCCATTAGTTTAGATAACGGCAAACAAAAATCAAATCACCGATGCCAGAAGCGTGAAAGCGGTCCAGTAGCTTAGTGCTCAGCATGTTCGCCACTAAGGTCATTGCCCACTGATTGAATTCCTGGCGCAGCCACCTGGCGCTTCAGCCACCTGGTGGATTATCAAACCGTATCATCTGCCGCTAAGACGGACATCAAATGCCCCGTGACTTAATTTGCGTGTGATGCCCGTGCAACAATCCCCTTTCAGTCACCATGACAAATCGTAATGGTAATTACTGTAAACAAATTAAAGCGACACAATTTCACAGGAAGGCAGAGAGGAAAGGTTGAACAACATTACCTGGTTGCTTGATCCGTGTTGCAGCTTATAAAGACAAAAAGCAGAAGTGGAAGATTAGGAGGTATATATGAGAGGGGTTTTAATTTTGTCAAAAAAAGAAACAACGCAACTGTTTTAATCTAGAGTGCTCATGAGTAAAAATATGGTTCATTACAATCGTTGCTTATGATGAAATCTCCATCGGAATGTCAAAAACTACCTTGCGCAAAATACCTTTGATGCAAATCTAGTAATACATCGTGGAGTGTTCATGACAGATATTACAAAAACTGCACAATGGCATTACAGACGGCAGAATATTTTCAAAGAACTTTTATGTTTTACAATAATATTTTTTGTCGTTCAAAGACACAGGAATGAAAAAAAACGTTCGCGAGAAATAGAAGGTTGTAAAGGAAACAACAGGGCCTTAGCCCGCTTCATAACTTACAGGACCGCTCCGATGGCACGAGAATGCGTTGAAAGGTCACTCGATGCGAGTGTGCATGGTGATTTTTTTCTCTCAACCATTTAAACACTACCGTGTGCTCAGCGACGGACAAGTGTAATGACCACTTGCAAGCGGAGCTAAGCGTGAAATTGGCCCATGCTCTACAAGGTGCAGAACGTGCATGCGAGCGCCGGTACTGTGAAATGAGCATCGTATAGGCACGCGACGAAAGAGCTCCGTGCTGGGTTTTTTTCTGCATTCAAAGTATATGAGCAAACAAATTTGCCTCCTTCACACATCTGTCCCTCCACTACTTAAAAAAAAAACATGGGCCACCGTTGTTTTCTGAGAGTGCATAATTTCAGCAGCATTGGTTCAATACAAGCAAACTCTGGACTAGTTTCAGCACCCATCAGCATCTCTTATCATCAGTCAAGGCTTGCTTGGACCAATGCTAGTGAACTGCCAGATGTTTGGAGACAGGGATAATCTTGTTATATATGGGTCCTAGTTTGACACGAAGCTATTTAATGCATAACGGAAAATAATCACGAGACACATTGTGGAGAATATAAGTATTGCGTTACAGTATTTATGTTCTCCACAAGGACACTCATTATACTGTGTTATCATCCAGATATGTTATGGCGTTTAAAACTACAACATTACATCAACACATGCCACTGTAATTTAAATGCTTCACTGTTAATAAGTAAAACTTTTCAATAACACGTCTGACGTGACCATGTGTTCCTATTATGATTTTGGAGTCGATTATTTAACTTCAAATACATTGCAGGAACAAACTCAGCTGGTACCAACTTCTGATGAGACTCTCTTGGAACAATAAGTTGCACCCCAAAGATGTGCCCCATGTGAACACAGTTCTACAGATCTGGTCACACACAGATGCATGCCTTACAAATTATAAGATGCAACTCCAAATTTACAATACAGAGGATAAAGTGCATCTAATTATCCAAAGACTATGTTAAGCCTTAAAGGTTAGTTCGATCAGAGTAAAGTATTTATTTCCTCATGTAAAATTGATCTCAGGGGAGCAGGAATAATATTTAATGACATTCAACATTCTAAACCCAAAGGTATCTTTACACTCATTACTTCCATTAGCATAAACACATGAATATATTAACGCTTGCACACAAATATATACATGGGCAAAAAGTATACAATACAAGAACTATCAAAACACCCAAAGGCCAAATTAAATATTTCAATTATGGACTGTTGTCGCAATTGCCATTCGCTAGCACTTATTAAAACTGACACAGCACACAAGGGAGTGGCGTGGCCACCACCACGGATGCATGGCTTATGCCAATGGTGACCTCACCATAATGATAATTATTGTTTATTCTCTGCCGGATAAAGGACCTCCCCAAAACCCTGTTGGCCATGGGCGCTGTTTTACCGGACTTCACCACGCCGGTAGGTGTGCATTAGTGAAGCGGAGGCCCAAGACTGCTTCGGATATCGCTCTTCTCTGATGTCAGCCATGGCCAGGAGCCAAACTCAGTGTGTCGGGTTCATAGCCCAGTACGCTAACCACTGCACCACCACTCCATATACGACCACATCAATACAGTAGATGCGTAGTTAAGCGAAGTGAGCCAATGGATGACCCAGGCCACATTATTATACAAGTTACCACTGGACAATTAAATAGACTGTGCATACACATATACATACTATGTATATGTGTTGAACTTCTTTCACACCGTACGTAGCCAACCGTGCTATTCAGAGAGCATTAGAACTACGGTCGACTCCGTCCGTCAACCCTTTGCATTGTACAAAAATATGTACCAATTTGTGGGAAATTCAAGAGTCTTCGGGATAGTGCAGCTCCAGCCAAGGGACTGGAATTCCCATCACTAGCTTAGGGTTGCTATTGCTCCTGACCCCATCTCTGTTCTGGCTGTGACTATTGATTCTCAAGAGTGTATACAGTATATATAATGTATATATGTGCATTTCACACTAAAGTGGAGATAATCTTCAGATGCATTTTTACGTAGATGATATATAAATCCAATGTGTATTGTATTGTTGGAAGGAGGAAACACTTTGAACTTGGTAAAGCATAAATGAAACCTCTTCTGTTACTATTGTAGTGATTGTGTTTTGTATGTATGCACAGCATCAGAGGGAAATCAGTAGGCATAATGTCCTAAGGCCCACATCTGTCTTTTTGTGTTGAGGTTAAACTTTTAACACATTTTACCAAGGCACTGTGCGTGCATCACAGCAGGACGATCGTAACCGCAACGCATGACTGAACTATTTGCAACGACCCAGGCCTGCATGGCAAATTACAAGACAGGTCTCTTACCTGCTTGAGGCTCGTGAACTTAAAGTGTGAACCATATTCATGTTAACACACGTGCATTTCTGCTGTTTATTCCCCCTCCCCTCCTTATCGGGACGGCGAACGCGAGGGGTGCTGGCATCCCTCCCGTCAAAACACTGAAGAGACGACAAAGTGGAATTGGTTACTTAAATATCGACCGAAACACTCTGTCCTGAAACTTTCGGGGGTCGGGCTGTGGAATGCCGCAGGATGGTACTCCACAGCACCGTGGGCTTACTGGGAAAATATTTGAGAAGCACTCGCTGGGCAGGGTGGGTTTTTTTTTTAAACTGTGGCGGCGATTTAAGTCCGCGTGTGAAATGCTGCTGCGATGCGCACTTCTCAGAGCTCTCACATCGAGTGGACATTTTTTTTCCAGCGAACTTTGTTTCAAAAGAGAGAAAGAAGCGAAAATGGAGGTATACACGGAATATTGAAGCGCATTTCTTTGAGTAATTATGGATTGTATTTTATATGTTTTATTTTTATTATTTTATTATTTCCCTTCTACGTGACTTTACCGAAAGAACCAAGAAGATGAAAGGAAATAATTATATATTTTTGTATAATCATCATAATAATGATTACTGTATGACTAAAGACACCCAGGTGTTCCTTACAATGCAGGTTATACAGCCGGGTGTGGTGGTACGAACATCGATTACATTTTCTGGATTATAAGATGCCCGAGAAAGTAAGACACACAGCACCTCAAACCTGCGCCCCATGTCAATCACGTGATCTAGACACACACGGCTACCACCATTATAGGACACACCCAAACCTTGGCTTTAAAGTATGGTGCTTTGTAACCTGGAGAATATGGTGGCAATTCACTACTTTGGAGGCAGGTTTTTGTAGATCAGGTTAAAATTACTCGCGTGAAAATTACACAACATTCTGAGTTGCAAAGGGGACGGAAGATGGCAGCATAGCAAGTCGACCGTCGACCTGTCTGCACGGATTTTTATTTTGCGTTGTCCCCTCGTACAAGTCGGTTTTCTCGAGGAGCTCTGGTTTCCTCCGTCAAGAAAATAAATAGACGAGTAAGGAATTGACAAAAGATATCTAGCAGGATCCTTGCATGGGTCAGCTGTCATCTCCAGCCAGCGGTGTACATCCCAAAGTCCAATGTGAATAAAGTTATCACGGACATATGTGTATGTGTGTACATACAATGGCAGGAGCAAATCTCTCATAAATAAAGAAAACAAAAAATGGCCAAAGGTGCGGCCCTCCAATTGCTATCTCACAACACTGCTGGCGGAAGTGGAGAGCCCCTCTACAGGGAATGTTGGCCTACTCTTCCCTACCGGCGAGACGTCTTGGAAGAGATGGCACGAACTCACGCTTTACCCCACTGTGCACGACATGCCGGCCGACTGACTGGGGTGGACCCGTTTATACCGGTGGGTGTACAGAGGCGGGGAGGAGGATTTAAGAAATTTGTCACAACAATCTCTGGATTGCAAGTCCAGTGCGCTGACCACCCGACGAGGGCCGACGTGCCCGTTTAGATCGTATCCCCGTAAAAATCTCGGCAAAAAAAAAAGAAAGAGAGAGATGGCATTGGAACGTGTCTTGTTAAGTTATATTCGCAAAGAAGTCGAGGCACCCAGATGGCCTGACACGCAGGCTTTGCGGAGCGCCAGCTACGCGGAGCACTTCATCTGTGTTGAATCAGGACTGGCATTCATCACTTTGTCCACGGTGTCCTGGCAGGTACTGCTGTTGAAGGTAGGAGGAAAATTCTCGTGGATGGACTTGATTGCAGCTGAAGAGCATTACGAATTGGCAGGGCATACGAACATTGGGGGAGAAGATCAAAGGGATGATAAACCGCTTCGGAAGGGTCATCTGGTTCTCATTGCTCAGCGGTTCAAATAGGAGAGCCCAGGGCAGCTTTACTTGCGTAAAAAAAATACATTCTTAGTGCGTGTAAGTTTACGTATGCACACAAATGGAATTCGTAAATGTTCACGATAACAATAGCACATATTTATTTGGGATCTTACACAAATTCATGTAATTGATGGAGCTAATTCGTTTCCAGTGTTACTTAAAAGATTTGCCAGCTGGTGCTGTGATGACAGCACTTGACAATTGGAATGCTGTGAGCTCAAATCCCACGTCTGCCTATCATTTTACTGGGTTAATAAAACAGGTACAACTTTGTGGCCAAGTCAACTGTGGTCATGCTACAGGTAAAACCTGCACTTGATA